TTGCTTCTGCCACGGCTCCAGCAGAGTCCTGCTGGACGTATCGTGCACGTGTCGGCCAAAGCTCACGAGCGTGCTCCTGAGGGGTAGCTTCTGGCGGACCGACGAGAGCACGCTTTCCGTAAGTCAAAGTCGTTGGACCGTTGTCTGTTGCTGAAACCCAGGTGGGGGAACATCAGCATGGAGGCAGGAGTCTGTGGACCACGTGCATTGGGGTCTGAGTGTGGGAATGGAGTGCCAGGATTTGCGTACCCGGAAAGTCTTGGACCTGGACTTTCCAAAGAGGCTCAGCATGTGACGTTCACGGCTCTGCCCACGTCACACATGCAGGGCTTGGTCTGGAGGTGAGCAACAAATCAGTGAGGGTTGGACTCTTTTTCAGGGCTCGTTGACCTGTCTAAATGCATAAATGAGCTCCAATGGCTCGCGAGGAAACTGAAAATGATGGGCAACCTCGGTGGCTCATATGCGGACTCAAAGCTGGCGCAGGTGCACAGGGTTATGCAGGTGTTGCATACTCCTGTTGCATACTCCTGTGCTTTGCTTGGCGGCTCCGGATGATGATGATGATGATGATGATGATGATGATGATGATGATGATGATGATGATGCTGCTGCTGCTGCTGGTGCTGGTGCTGGTGCTGGTGCTGGTGCTGGTGCTGGTGGTGCTGCTGGTGGTGGTGGTGGTGGTGATGGTGTTGGTGTTGGTGGTGATGATGATGATGAAGATGATGATGAAGATGATGATGCTGATGGTGAAGCTGCTGGTGATGGTGAAGGAGGAGGGGATGACAATCCGACCAGTCAGAGCCAATCTTAGCTTCGACGCTCTCAGCACTGGAAAATGCAGGTGCTGTACAACAATGCGTTGGCCAGACGGCTGCCTCCAAATGCCGTGACCTTTGCTGCCACCCGCCCACCCACAGCCAATCTGGAAGTTTACAGAGCATAGTCAGACAGGGGTTACACGTGAACAGGAGGAACATAGTTTTGTGCTCTATAGCGTATTGTATGCTTGTTTTCCCACCATCGCAGCATACCTCTCAGGTAGTCACTCACAGCTTGCACCCGGCCATCGTGCAGACTTGGCCCCAGCAACGTGCAGTAACGCTTTCGAGCCACAATTGTTGAAAGTGTCGAAACTAGGGACTATTCGATGATCATTATTGTCATGGAGTCCATTTCAGGCCTCCACATTTTGAAGAGTACGACGGTGTTATCCACATCGATTCCCTGCGCCAAGGACTGGCTTGCTGCGAGATAATGACTTCAACGGTTTCCAGAAGTGCCCTGTTGCAGATTGACCAGGACCACAGTTGTCGATGTGAACTTGGAAGGTACCTGCAAGAAAACATCATGTTCCCAGTTGGCCGACTGACCGGCTTCACGCAGTCCGAGGACCGCTGCGGAGAAAGACCGACAGAGACAAAGACCAAGACATTTCGAGAGAGACAGAGAAAGCGAGAGAGAGAGAGAGGGATAAAGGAGAAGAAAGGAGACCGAGATGGAGCTAGAGACTGAGAGATGCCTGGCAAGCGGCAAACTCAGGAAGATGCTCCTAAGACGCAGATCCACGTGTCTACCCATCCATCGCTCCAGGCGCGTGGCATGTAGCAAAACTCAACGGGCATGGAACGGTTGCCATTGCGATCGCTTGAAACCAGATGTCTCGGACCTTTGTGAGCTGCCAGGAGGTCAGCGGCCGCTACTACTCGGCGCACTCACCGCCTTTGGTGAACTGCGGACAACCCGTGAGCCCTGCTGATTGACAGCGCCCGAAACGGAATTTGTCGTTCAGTTGACGTGCGGGTGTTCAGAATTTGGGACTTCCCTTTAGGCAGCGTTTCAACGCGAAGCCAAAGGGAAGCCATCTATATCGGGGGCCTGCAACACAAGACGCATGGCTCGGATTACCTTCGATGTGGTTGGCCCTGAACATAACGATGTCCGTTCCTGTGTTTGATCCAGCTGCCAGGCGGAAAACTGCGGGTGGGCCAGCATTTCGGCAGCTGGTGCAGACCGTTTCTTGCAGGAGGACACTATGGCCTCGCCGAGAACCCAACATGAAGCTCAATTCAGGGCAGTGCGAAACTTCGACAACTGTGCAAAGCGAAGGTACCCACTAAAAGCTCAGCTATCTCTCTATTGACAAATTCATAAACAGCACGGACCAACCAAATCGAATGGCCATGGCCATCCTCCAGCATCAAGCATGAACAAGCTCTATTTAGAAAATTGCAGGTCTTCAATCAATCATTAAATGCGCCATTTTTTTGCCGCCTGGCCCTCCATTAAAACCAACATGATTGAAGCACCATGATGCCAACTGGCAGTACCCAGCTTGGGGGATGTTTGGTATGTTTCACCAAATGTCAGTTTGTTTCTTGCCAATTCTTGTATATAGTGCAAACAGATGATATGGTCTAGCTAGCTGCTGAAAGGGGGGTTGAATCGGGTTGTGATTCGCATTCCTAGAGTTTTCCAAGCAGCCTTGCTATTCTGTCAGGACCTCTTCGAAGCATCCTGTGAGTTGCTGGATCTGAGCGATGGGTTTTGTGCAAGCGTCAAGTGAGAGACACACGTCCTGGATGGATGTCCTTTGCAATCCAGATCCCCCAGGTTCTCACAGCAGAGTGCAACACGTTATTTGATGAGTGTTTGCGCAGAAGATCGATTTGCATGGGATCGAAGCTTAAACTGTTTCAGGTGGTTAAGCCCCTTTCAATCCATACCGTGTGTCAGTGGACGCCGCGTACGTTGCGTGCCCAAGAGTTGGGTGTACATAAATTGGGATGAAGCTCTGGAATCATGGCACATCATTGCTATGCTTTGCAGCTGAGCATCGGTTGCTAGGTGACTGAGGCAGCGTTCAGTGTGTAGCCCTGAATAAACGCTTTGCCGTCAGGCCGTCAGTGTCACTGGCTGCGCTTCATTCATTCTGCCGAACCAAGGACCAATAGGTAGTTATTGTTCCGAGGGCTCCCGCTATCATGCTTGCTTCCTGAGGGAATGATTTTAGGTTGCTGTTGCAGAGAACATGCCACACTGAGCTACTGTCAATGTTGATAATTTGCAAAGCTAAGATTGGGGATTTGTTTTATTGCTATTTTTGGTAGTATTATAACTACCACTAAACTCCGCCAGAGCCGGAGGGGGCGGAAGTTTCAATCATATAAGAACTATAGTGTGTGTGTTTTTCCCCTTTTCGCTCACTCTTTCTCTTTCTTCCCACTATCTGTATCGTTCTCTTTCTCGATCTCCCTCTCCCCGTCTCCTCTCTTGTTCTTTTCTCCTATTCTTTCTCTTTCTTCTTGTTTGCTTCGTTCTCCTTCCTATTTTTCACTGTCTCTTTTGCCTTTTGTTTTTCTCTTTCTCTTCCTTTTGCTCTTTCTCTTTCTCTTTCTCTTTTTATTTTCCTCTTTGTCTTGTATCTGTCTTTGTTGATTGATCTTTCTCTTTCTCTGTCTCTTTCTGTATTTTTGTTTCTCTTTCTCTTCTCCTTTCTTTCTTTTTCTTTTTCACTTCCTCTTTTTGTCTCTGTTTCTCGTTCTCTTTCTCTCGTTCACTCTCTCTCTCTCGTTCACTTTCCCTCTCTCTCTCTCTCTTTGTTTCTGCAGCCCACGAAAGTTTAAAACACTGAACAATACAGGTTTGTTGGGGTCGACCCACCAAAAGTCCGCAGAGCACTTTTTCGAGGTTGCGCAACAATGTGCGCGACCGTGCCGTCCCGTCTCCAAACCAGTTCCGCAGTACGGATTGAGCAGCATTTTTAAAAGGAGAGGGGAACTGGGACCGCGTAGCCTCGCGTAGCCTCGCGTAGCGTCGCGTAGCCTCGCGTAGCCTCCGCGTAGCCTCCGCGTAGCCACTAGCAAAGGGAGCTGTCGATAATCGTCCGCGTAGCCTCTACATAGATCCTTTTTCTTGAGCTAAAGGCTTAGGTTGAATCCATTGAAAGCTTGCATGTCTCGAAGAAAGAGGGTGAATTTGATGAGGTCGCTCATTCCGCGTAGCCTCAGCGGTGCCTGCGCGTAGCCTCCGCGTAGCCTCCAAGGTGTATTCAAGGCCACTGGCCCACATGCCGACTGCTACTACCACTACTACCACCACCACCACCACCACTACTACTATGACTGGTGCTACTACTACTACCACTGCTACTACTACTGCTACTACTACTACTACTACTGCTACCACTACTACCACTACAACTACGACTACTACTACTTCTACTACTACCATCGCCACTACTGCTACAGCTACTGCTACTGCTACTACTTGCGTTTGCCAACGCGCTTTCACGTAGCCCCGGCGTACCCCCCCGCGTAGCCACTTATCAACAAATATGTTCCGCGTAGCCTCCGCGTAGTCAAATTCCTAGGGAGAAAGACAGTCGCGTAGCCTCCGCGTAGGTATGTGCTTCCAGTGTATAGGCCCCACACAATTGTCGTGACGCGGTGGCCCCGTGTATAAAACACGGCTCTAAGTGTCGTGACGCGGTGGTTTGCGCACACGCGGAAGTGCCGAACTTATGCGCAGGGCCACATATTCGGCCCGTTTGAATTCCCCAGTTCTGATCTCTCGTGTTCCAGCTTTTTGGCGGCTGTTCACTTCAAGATCGTGCGCCGATGCATGCATTAATAGAGAGAGCCAACCAGCTAACCTCAGCTAGTTACAAGGGAGGTTCCTTCAAGACTTCGCACAGGCCACCAATTTGGTGAGTTACTTGTTTGTTTTTCTGAGAGTGTATAGATGTTTTTTGAAACACAACTGGTGTCCGCTTCAGATGAGACTGGCGTTCACTAAGGGGTCATTTTGAGCTTTTATATTAACCGGACGGAGCGTCTCGTTGCGTCTTGTAAAGCTGTTGCCATGTGTTGCCCACAAATCAGCATCCGCATTGTCAACACGTCAACCCCTGTGGATTTCCTTTACAATCCAGTGATTGCAATTCAGAAAACTATCTTTGTTAGAGAAATGACTGCAGTTGCATACCACTGCCGTTCAGCTCATGACTCTTGCTGGCACTTCCTTGTGGATTCCCAGGACCTCGCGTGCCTTGGATGATGTTGGATTGTTTGCGTTGCAGCTGGGTCAAGGCATCTATGACCAACGCGATCAAGATGCCCTGCACATTCGGAATGAAAGTTTCTCAAGATACCGCTTGATTGGGTATTGGCATGTTTAAGCTTGGTTTGCCTTGCGTGAAAGCTCAAAGGCATCCAACGACGAGCGCAAACAGGGTTGCACTCACCATTGGCTGGCAGGTATCTCTCCTTCGCATCAGACGGCCGCTGGGCACTGCAATTTACAGCATTAAGCTCATAGAGTATAGCTGAGAACAATACTGGTTGCGGGCCGAAGGGTCTCAAGCACTCAGGGCACTGCACGCTCCTCGGTGGCCCGGCACGTGCGAGAGAGGAAGCTACAAGGCAGGAAACGGCATCTTCAGCCGGCAGTCATCCTCATGTTGGGGACCCCACCATGGGATTGTCTTAAACAAGAACCCCCGAAATGTAGGGGTGTCCGATTTCGTTCACTTCATTGATTCCCTTCAATTTGTTGTTTGAGTCAAATAGGGGGAGCCCAATATCAGGAAATTGTTACATACCAAACAAACAGGGGTGTGTCTGCTTTGTGAGGAGGGTTTGCTCATGTCAACGGGCCCTTTGTTGATGACAGCCATGCGGACTTGTCCAGGTTGGTCATTTTGAGGCGTTCCTCAGTCCTGAGTTCGCGTGCGTCCAACCGCTGAAAGTTTACAGTCTGTTTGAACAGGAGTTAGCATTGTACCCGGATGATATCCTTGGAGCTGAGCTGAGTCTCTATGTTTTTGCATCCAGGGCCAGCAGTTGCAGCTGCTGCTGCTTTCGTGGCAAAAAGGCGGCGCCAAGGCTCTCGGGCAGTTTTGGGAAGATGGGCACCCAATGTGAGTGCAACACCATTGACCTGCCATTTGGAGAGGACGCCCGTGTTTGGTTAGGGTTGGAGGAAAGTTTCAACAGTCGTCAAGATCGCATTCATTGTCTGTGTCTGTGTATGTTTGCATCAGCCAACGTGGCGTGACACACGTCACTGATGCATTCTTGTCGTGACGCACAAGACGTGAGAGGCGGCCGCATGCCCACATGCCGTCTGGAGCTGATGGGCCTCCCTGATGCCGCAGCATATCAACGGCTCCTTGCTGAGCAGTGCCCAAGGCTGTGCGCTAGGTTGTTAAGTGGTCGATGTTGCTACAAGGGCACAAGAAAGTGCCACGTTAAAAGCTTTGCTTGTTGAAAACTGAAAACGGTGCTGTGCTTTTGGGATTGGATTTGTCTGAGGCATGCGGCGGGCTTGCTTCAAAAGGCCCGAGCTGCCGGTGTACTCTCAGGCTTGAATATTCCGAACAAGAAGCCTGGGGAGCCGTTGCTGGAATGGGCAGCTTGGCACTGGATTCTGGGTGCACGAACCTGCCCAGAGGTTGGATGGTTTGCACCGGAACGACCTGCAGCCTTTGTTTGGGGCCCACATCGAGTTGCTGCGGTCAGCTTGTGTCGCGCACCTGGCATTTGGATGTCTACAGTCCCTGTAGTCAAGGGCCCAGTTAATTCTGTTCAATCCAAGGAGCTGCAAGACATCCTTGTTTGGCGAGGTCTCCTCAAGCTGTTTCGATCCGGGCATTGTACCTCGATGTTCTCTAGTCTGTCTAGTACATGTGGTGCCTTTTGGATTGTCATTGAAGGGGGAACTGAGGAACTGTTTCGCTTGTTCTCCTTGAGGCAAAGATCCTTGTGAGAGAGCTACCTGGTGTGGAGGTCACGGTGCATTACAGCTGCTCGGCTCCATGATGCGCTTTGCAACTGAGACAGCTTCTTGTGAAAACACGGGCAGGTAAGGGAGAAGCTGGCACTTTGATCGGTTCAAAGTACTGCATAGCGCCTGAGATCACCAAGAGACAATAGCTTTCCTCGATTGTCAAACAACTTCTCCCCTAGTTGTGCCATGTCCATTTGCAGGCTTGAAGCACCAGCGGAGCCCCCGTGTCGTCGAGGACAGAGCTGTCTGCTCTTCACGACAGTTTGCAAGTGGCTGAAAATGGCCTCATTCTTTAAGATGCAGATCAGGCTGGCTCAAAGTTTGCGCAATCGCAGGGTCACTGCAAGTGAGCCACGATATCTCACATCTACAGTCCCTTAGGTCGCTTTCAAAGCTTGTCCCTGAGCTGACCAGCTGGAGGTCAAGTCTGTTCCTCCTCTAAGAAAAATCCAGCAGCAGAAGTGTGACTTCAGCTTGACCGGTGGAAAGTCCGTGGTTGCTTCGGCCAAAGTTCCGTTGCAAAAGTCCAAATGCCAGGACTTCCAAGACTGGTGTCAGCAGGCGTCCAGCGCTGGAGTCCGGCGAGCTGCTTGACAGAGATGGCTGTTGAACGGAACTCTCCGAGACGTTCAGATGGCTTCTTTGGCTTTCCTTTTGGCTTCCTTTTGGGATTATCCCTGTTTTGACATACCAGAAGGCAAAAGACAACACACACAGATGTCAACAGGCGCAAGCTGCAGCTGCAGAAACTCATCGGCAAAGGTATTCTTTTGGAAGTCTGCCCAGAAACCGACAAGGCCATCCCGGAAAGCTCACCTGAGTGGCGAGTCATCAATTGTCATTTTGCAAAGGCCTGTTTGACGCTCCAGGGCAGCATGTTGCTTCCAACAGAGGGCAACAAGCCCAAGAAGCAAACCATGTCCACATTCTTCAGGAAAGATAGCTGGGCCTTGTGCCAGGTGGCCAATTTAGTTTTAATTGGGAACCCTCGAATATGGTTGCTAGGTGAACATGAATATCCTATTTGGTGTCCACCAAACATTCCCCAATTGAAGTTATCCTTGTTGTTTGAGCACATCGTCCCTGGAAGAACTCGGCAACTGAGGTACTCCTTGTCACCGGCCCCAAAGGCCCCCGCCAGGATGCCGCACTTTGGATGCATTACAAACCATGCTTGGGTGACCTACCCAGTAGACTGCTTCAATCTTGCTGTTCCGGACAATAATGTTTGTTGTCTTTGGCCAATGATCTTCCACGAGGTAGCCAGAAAAGCTGACTGTTGAGCGACAACTAGTTTGGGGACTCGTGTCAGTCGCTTCTTGCTCAGGAACCTCGCGACGTAAAGCCGCAAGCCTTCCGCCTTCGCATGTTTCAGGGCTCCTTTTTCCAAAGGTCGCCCTTGAGAAGGCATAGGCTCCAACCCAAGAGTCACTTACTTGCATTCTTGGGTTGCGTCCCTTTGTTTCAAGGTTTGGGTTCCCTCCCAAACTAAATGTTGAACATGGATCCCGCGTGCAGGTTTGGGTCCTGCAACGTTTGGAGCGGATCGAGGGCCTTCGCTTGGGCGTTGCCTTCAACGCCACTCAGCCGGGAGGAGCCTTTGGGTGTGTGTGTCAAAAATAGGATTGGGACCTCAAAATGGCCGGCTGCCTCCTAGTTTGGCTAAACAAGCCCAACCTTTGTTGATTGAACATGTTTGAGCTCAAAGAGGCATGGGGACACCATCGACTCGTCACCCGTTTTATGGGTCGCGGTTTTATCATCCCAGGCTTGCCTCCCCACAGAGGCGGCGAGAGAAGCTGAGCGGCAGCGCTTGGTCCAAAAGCTCCGGTCTGGGTGGGTGCAGGATGTGTGGTTGACGCTTGGCAGAAGGAAACCGGAGCGAGCGTGCCACCAGTGAGCTCCGTTTTTTCTCTACAACTTGGCAAGGTTGGACCATGCCTCTGCCCCCGCCACCAAACAAAACACAAAAGAGAATCCGCCAGGTTCAAGAATCCGTTAACCATAGGCGTCTCTTGGCAATTCCTGGAGGTGGAAGCACCAATTAGGTGCGTGAGCCCTGCATCATTGCTGCCGGATCAAGCTAATGGTGTTGCAGAAGTCCTCTTCATGTCAATACGATTGCAGTCCCAAAATGTTGAAAAAGGGTTGTATTCGAAACCCGACTTGACCGACGTTCGTTGTGTATTTTGCAACTTCAGCGACACAGGAACACTGGCGACGATGCTGAGCTGTTACGGCATGGCATAGACTTTGTGAGAGAGACTGGCCTGAAGTCTCTTGGCTGCTCCAGCACCTTGCAGTCGTTGTCAGACTCGGAGTGGTACTTCGCAAAGCGCCTTTATGTCTGAAACTTCGGAAGCTTGTGGATGAAAGGAAGCTTTTGTGGCAGGTGTATGTGTCAAACAAGCAAAACTACAAGAAGCAAACCCCAGGTTGGGCGTCCAACCCGAGCTCTTTGCATCAGTGATGCTGCCCAGTGCGGCGCAGCTGCAACAGATGCGCGAGCGGCCGTGGAACGGCGTCCACTTCAGCGAGGCCGGCGAAAATCACCGACTCCGAATTGGAAGGGCGAGAGTGTCATGCATGTGTGTGTGTGTGTACGTGTCACGTTCTGATTTCGTGGCCATGCCGTCCAGGAGTTCCTGAGCTCCGTCCAGGGCATGGGCCGGGCCTCCAGCCGAGCACTGGCGGTGTTCGGGGATGAGGTGGAGCCCATCGTGGAGAGCAAGGCGCGGGGCTTGGGGGCAAAACCTCCAAGGGATTGTGGGTGCTTGACAAGTACCGCATAGCCATGCGGACAAGAGGTATGCAATGGCAATCTTGCTAAAACTAGATACCATTCTCCCGCTTGCATTCCGCAAGGCTTGAGACTTGCATTTGCTGGAAATGTTGGACACACAGGGGTGGGTCACAATTTGCCTTGCCACTAATTTAGGTAATTGTGTTTGTTGAGAGCTACGTGCTACAAAAAGCGCCGCCAAGCGCACATGGCATGGGACAGGACCTCTGACCCACCTTCTTGTCCGCAGACAGCTATAGCTTTGGGGTTGATGGCGCCAGGGAAGGTAGCAAAAGCACATCTGGTGGGTCGAAGTTGTGTATGTTGGGGAGCCTCTTGATTTTAGGGGATCGGATGGGAATGAGTCTAAACCAGACACCCTCGAAATGGTTGCTTTTTGGTTAATTCCCCAAAAAGCTTTGCACGAAGTTAAAATTCCCCAGATTCATCAGATGCCAAGCACTTTGATGCTGGTGGTACCTTGTTTCATGTACGGACGAGCAGTGCTCACTCAGCCGCGTCATATATTTCAGATTCATTGTACATCGAGAGGAGCGCTAGTGTTAAGTATTGTCGGCCCCTGATTGTGTCGAGTGTCAATGCACACATGAGCGCCCTACTTGAAGCGGTGCATGCTGGGAGGTCCGCAATGCTGCAGACCTGAGCAAGCTGGTAGCTTATATCGACCAGGACACCCAGACATTGTCTTCAATGCTGGAGGAAGAAGATTCGTGCGGTCCCGCTATGCTCCTTGTCTATCATAAAGGGCCATTCTACAAGGTGCAAGGCCCGTGAAACCATCTTGTGCGTGCCATTTTTGTCAGCGCGCCAGCATCAATGCCGAGCATGATCATGGGCTTGTACTAAAAATTGATTCAAAGATGCAGAATGAGAAACCAGCCATTTCAACTTTTCAGATGACTCTAATGCACAATATGCTGCTGAGAGCTACAGTGCCTTGAAGGCCAAAACCGATTATTGATTCTCCTCACACTCTCCCGCCTTACAAATTCCCGAGTTAATGCTCTCCAGCCGGCCCGTTTGCAGTTGTTGCTGAGGCCGAGAACATGCAATTTTGCCCCTGAGTCGAGACTAGGCCAGCTGTGCTTGTCTGGCAGTTCCATGTTGAGTTGCTTTCTGGATGTTGGGAAAGATTCTGAGACATATAGGATCATGCACCGTTATTCGAGCACGTGGCACAAAACCGCTCTCACTGTGTCTCCTGCTGCCCTGGGCCCAAAAGCTGCGCACCAGTCATCGCTGTCGTGTCCGTTGCTTTACACGATCATGATGATGATCATGATCATCATAATGATGATGACAGAATGACAGTTGTCCTGATCATCTCTAGACAGCAGGCTTCCAACGATACAAGGCAGGTTTTTCAGACCGATCCTAGATCGACGAATAGATGGCCACGCATTACAGCTCACAAATTGGGGTCTCCGGCTCGTTGTGCCAACTTGATCCGCAATCCTTATGCCAGTGTTTGGGTTGTTTAAACTCAATACGTAATCCTTATTGTATTATGCCATATTATGCCAGGTAGTGGTTTCCCTTGTGATGCCCCACGGATTAGGCTTACCCAAACCAAAACGAACGCCAGGCCGGAGCCGCGACGGCGAGGCCTCCCGCATTCCGCGGCGCTGGGGCAAAGCTTCGAGACATGCCTAGGATGGCCGAAAGCTCCCAAGCACCTTGTACAGGCGTGCCAGGGACTCGGAGAATCAACGACCCAAACGTTGGGACAAACGACATGAATTCAAATAATTCAATTTGGTTCACTTACTTTGGCTGCCAGCATCTAAACATGCCAATTGTTAGCTGGGCAAGCTGAGGTGGTACTGAGTTGAGTCAGGCATATGAAATACTATCGCTGAAACAGCCCTACCGCACTGGCCTTTCGCTACCAGCTTTCGTTGTGATGGCCGGCCAACAGCTACCTTCGCGAGCTTGTTTCCTTCCAGGAAGGTCACAAAGGTTTTGCTCTTTTGGGAGGAGTGGTTTCTTTTCTTGAGTGACTACATTGGCCAGCGGGATTTAGATCACGCCTGCAAAGACTCGGGTTCTGGAGGCATGGCAGCTTTCTGCCCTAGGGTGTGGCAAGTTTTCACAGGCACACTGGCACACTGGTGCGCAGTGTATAAGGCAAATAGTCGATACCGGATGCACAAGAGCCAACTTTCTCAATGCACCACGGCACGCAGCTTTTCGCTTGGGGCTTCGGTCTGCTGTGTTTGCAGTGCCCGCCGCCTGGGCGCTGGCGCATTTTCGGCCATCGGCCCACAACTGTATAGCTGCGCATGAAATCGGACGAGACACCGCAGGGTGCCATTGGGCATGCATTTGGATGCAGGTACATGCAAGATGAGGTGACGCTCGGATGTGTGGCCCCAGTTTTAGTCTTAAGACAATCAAAGACCAAGAGTTGCTCTTTCAGAGCGCAGCAACAAAATTCATGATGAGAGATAGGACAGGATGCCCACTGTGATGTTCCCCGCAATGTACTAGCTTCGGCCTGGCCCTTTGCTATGCCGGACGCAGAGCCAGCAGGCGGCAGAGACGCAGGTTGTTGTTGAATGTGCACATGGAGGTTTCATAAGGCCTGCACGTGAAACTGGCAAGGCATAAGACAAGACGCCCCGCCAGTGGCGGCTGAAGCTGAGCCAACGCAAGCCGCAACTGAAGCGGAGCCAAAGCAAGCTGCAGCTGAGTCTGAGCCAAAGCCGGCAGAGGCTGAATCTGCGTCCCAGCAAACAGCGGAGGCTGAGACAAAGGGAGCAGAAGTGCCAAAGTCGACAGTGGAAGAACCCAAAAAGGCTGAACCGAAGAAGGCAGAGCTGACGCTTCGCTCGAGAATGCCCTGATTGCCTGCTGCAACAGGGTTTGAGTTTGCAGTCACAAAACCAGGGACATGTTGGGATGCAAAGCCTTGCAAAATACCTTGCCCGTGACCCCGTGACCCAGCAGAGGGTGTTACTTTGCTAAAGGCATCCCTGACTCAAGTGACAGCCAAGAAGATGTGCGTTAGATGCAAAAAGCTGTGCAGGCGAACGATTCTCGCAAGAGGCAGGGCGCCTTGGTCGAGGTGTAAGCCGCTTTTGCCCACAAGGCCCCAGAACGGAAGCGGAGGCGGTCAAAACGCCAAGCGCCAGAAGGTAGAGATTGCCCCAGGCCACAGTCTCAGTGCTGACAAACCTGTTGTCAGTACCTGATGAGAAAAGAAGCCATCTGAGGTGACAAGGGAGTTTACTTCACAACGCTCAACTCAGGCCAAGCGGGTCATTGGTTTGCCCGCTGTTTCATTCATTTGCGCAAAACGCACCAACTTCACCCTGCTTGGTCGCTCGTCAAATTGTTGTGCCTATCATTGAGGTTCACACTTTGTGGTTGAATTTCAACAACCCTCACTGCAACTGCAGCAAAATCGAGAAGGAAACCAAGCAGGTCCCATTGTTTGGCCCCCTGCATCTGGTCACTGACTTCGATGAGAGAATCTCTCATTGTGCAGGCAGCGTCGACAGGGCCAAGCGCGATCTGAAGCAGCTCCTGGAAGAGTACAAGGTGCGAACGAAGCCCCGAGAACAGTGCCGAAAAGGATCCCTTTGAGGACGTTGGCTACCTGTCGGAGGTTTGATCATGCTCAGTTTAAATTTCAGAATAGCCAGCGCGCTGGGCATGAATCAAATTCCCAGGTGCCTGAGGATCTGAAAAGCAGGCGGGCATGCGTGTTGTCTATAATCGCTGTAACCAGGGCTCGCTTTGGCATGTTTGCTTTCATGACAAGATGTCATGTTCAGCATCATGTTGGCTTGCTGACATTAGAGGCTCTTTTGCTGGTACCCTTTCAATATTGTCATGCATCACTGGGATCAAGACTTGGTGCAGCTGGGCGAAGCTGCAGATGCAAGACGCGTCCCATGCTGCTCCTCAGGATCAGCAAGCTGGACTTTACACCCTGCACAGAGGCCAGAGCAGAGACTGCGGCTGCACCTACAGCAAGCGCTAGACGCTTGTTCAAAGTGCCGCTATCGCTGCCTGATAGGCAACAAAAGGGATGGGCTTCTTGAAGCTGCTGAACATGGAGGATTTGCTTCCTTCAAAGGCTCGCTGGTTTTTGTTTCAAGCAGGCCGCTCGGTGTTAGAAGCGGCTGTGTGCAGAGCATTGGACGCGTTGGCTTTCTGGCGCAGCTTTTGCATCGCGAAGCATAAACTCGGTGCCACAAGTCAGAAGCAGATCTCAACATGCATTCGTCACATTGACATGAGCAGAAAGGCGTCATGCGCAATGCAATTTGCAGGCAATTTAGATAATATCCTGCTAGCGCATCGGAGCAATCATGGCAGTGGAAGAAGGACAAGGTGAAAGGGACGAGGAGGCAGAGGTCCCGTCTACGGAGGCCGAAGCAGAGTTGCCAGAGTTGCTGGAGCTCATCGACATGGTGGAGTCCGCATCTGGTGATGAACTGGCTGAGGTTATCAGCAAGATCGGCCGCCGAATCCGCGCAACTCCGGGGGATCGTGACTTGCTGAGCGACTTTGAAGGTATCGCTCAGATCTGTCAGGCGCTGGAAGCTTGCAACTGGAGAGGTCCAGCCATGCTCGCCTTCTGCCGCGTCATGCCAGATGTATGCCGGACCAGCATCGTGAACCGCGCCTCCTTGAGGGACGCGGGTTTTCTGGCTGCGACAATGAAGATGCTAGAAGAAGCTTTGGCGGCCAAAGAAGAGATGAGCCTGATGGCTTGCTGCACATCTATTGCAGCGCTGTGCACCGCCAACGACGCCACTTGCCTGATCTTTGATTTTGACGAACCGGTCGCATCCAGTCGCTCTCTAGGAACATGTTTGTTTTGCGCAGGTGAACGAAGAAAGCAACTTCCGACTTCCAAAAGGCAGATGCGCTACTACCCACTGACACTAGGTAACCTAGACTGAAAGCCCGCCTTCTTTTTTTTTGCAAGAAGTGTTTTTTTTTTTTGGGGGGGGGGGGGCGGGGCAGATTTTGACCCGGCTTGTCTCCGCAGGCCAATAAGCAGCTGGCTGCGCAGCTCACGGATGCGGACTCCGCATCCAAGGGAGCCATCTTTTTGCTGCTAGAGGCACTGGAAGTTGCGGCGGAGGCTCCTTTGGCGGAGGCCGGAAGGCGAAGTTGAGCAATCAAAAGTTGTTTCGCTCAGATGATAGAAAGGCTGATTCCGTTCAAAACTGTACCAGTCTTCCGCGCGGTTGATTCTTTGTATGGTTTGGGGCAGACTCATTCAACACCTAGTTTTGATTTCTGAGTTTCAACCGCAGCAATGTTGGCACAAGTAGTGTTGGTAGCCATAGTTCCAAAAGCAGCTGAAGCAGCTGCAGTTTAGACAAAATGAGCGACGTTCTACAACCCCTGTATTTGAAAGTATATGTGAGGAAATATTGTTCTCAATTTGTAGCTTGTGCACCCCCCCTCCCACCCCAGTGATCATGTTGATCATGTTGATAATGTTGCCATCTCAAAAGATGGCTGTCTTGTTGTTGCTGCTGGCTTCTAGGCCACTTGTGGCCTACAGGCAGCCAGCCGCGTTGTTGCCAAAAGCCGCTTTCTCAACTTGTTCTAGTGCCGTTGCGTCATCTCGTTCGAGCTGGCCAATACCAAACTCGCAACCTCTAGACCAGCCAATAAGCAAATGAGTGTGAAGACCTTGCCAGCAAGCCTTTGGCCTGCTGAATGTTGCATAGTAGAGAGAAGTTTGACTCCCAGTCAATGGACATAATTTTGCAAGACTACATGAAAACTACCCAGCGAGCACAAGACTACAGGAAAACTATGGGGAAGACTGCAGGAAGTTAGGTGGGCACGCAGCAGCTGAAGCTACTGCAACCTGATGAGGGATGAAAGTGGGTGGTGTCCATTTGGTTCGCCAAAAAGTCCTTAGTTGCCAACTTTCCTGTTCAACGTGGTGAAACACCTTTTGTTCAAACAGCCTCCTTTGGGTTTCCGTGAAGAAAGGGTGGCCAGGGTGCGATCCTTGCCGTGCCGATTTCGACATCCGTTCTCTCCCTGAGGCCATGGCCGCGCTGAGGTCGGTGGTGGTGGATGACGACCACCGCAAGTCCGAGACCCAGCCCGCGGCCTTGGAGAATCGGGAGGTGCTGCTCAGTGAGGAGCTGTACCCCAAGGCAAGAGCTATGAAACCACAAGACAAAACATGGGCTACAAGCCTATGATATGAGGCCTCGTCCCCATTTTATTCCGGGGATAGTGGTTTGTATGAGAAATATTCTTCAGAAGGAGGGCGGGGGAATGGCAGGATCCTCAAGCTTTCGCAATGCGTGCGCATTGAATTTGCTGAGAATGTTGATGATTCGGAAATTGCAAGAGTTCTAAAGATGGAACCGATGCCCCTGACTTTGGGTCAGATTTGAGGGTGAAGAATGGTGCTATACTCCTAATAACTTTGGATACAGCCCTCAAGCTGGATTGGAACAGCACCAAGAACAGCACCAAGGCCTTATATTATACCTTGAGCAGCATTGGAGGGTGAAGTCTGACTGGTAGAAAATTATGGGCTTGTGTTTGGCCCACTGATTGATGTATGTGTACAAGCCTAAAGTTTGTGCATTTACAAAAAGCGACGACATGCAACAACTCATGTTGCAAAGCGGATTTTGTGAGGTCCTATTATCTCTAGAGGTCGGAGAGGTGGATTTTCTCTCGAGGGAACACTTTTCAGTTCATTCAAAGGGAGACCAAAAAGGCCGCCCGGCAAGAAGCATTTCGGGGACCCAACGGGCAGATGGCTTCCCGTAGGTGCGGGAGGCGTTGCAGCGGGGCGGCGCCACGGCCAAAGAGCAGCTCGGCACGGGACCAGTTGGTTTGGGCCCGGGGTATGTGTTCAAATTGACCCAAATTGTCATCCTCCAAGAAACTGAGCTGTGACAGTGTTGCTAGATGAAGGCGGACAGCCGGTTTTTGACTTCGACAAGTCAATAGAAGGTGTTCGACTGTTCGACTTGTTGGATTTCGCACCGACTTGTCAAGCTTTCGGATTGCGACTTTTCGTTGTTTTTTCAATACGTATTTCGACTTTTTATACCATTCGAGAATTCAAATAGGCATCAAGGTTTCGACTTTTCGGATGTTGATATGCCTTTTCAATTTTTTTGACTTTTAGATCGCCATTCAAGAATGGTCGAGGTCGCTAGACTATATGTTGCCGAAAGACCGTTTTTTGCGCCTGGCCCTGAATATCCAAAAGATCATGTTTGTTGTTGCCCAAGCATTGCTTAGGGTCAGGTCACTGACAGTCACGCCGCCCTCATCCTCCCAGCTGCAAATCACTGCACCCAAGCCACTCACTGCCCAACTTGCCAAGCGTATGGTCTCTTTACTTTTCAAAATCGCCAGGTGTCCTGCCAGCAATATATGGCACAGATGCTTCACATGTTGGTACTGAAGTCCTTTTTTTTTTTTGGAGAAATGCTGCAAACCTACTGGCATCTGGGGCATCGCTGTCGATCAGGCATGCGTTGTGGGCTCCTGGGGGTATGGTTGTCCACGCTTTTAAATGTACTTTCCACGCTTTTAAATGTACCGTCTTTCCACGGTTTGTCCATGGTTTGTCCACGCCTCATTTTCTTTCAACATCGACAAGAGAATCAACAAACAACACGCGATGAGACTCTGCGGAGCTGTGAACAAGAAGTGGAGAAGCACGCACGGGCATGTGAGGGACAAGCCAAATTGACGCAGCGTGGTGATGGTGTGTGATTTCAACGGGATGAAGCGACTGTAAAACATACTTAGCTGATTTCATAAAAGCAGCAATAAAGTTCTTGAACCTTTCACTGCACAGAAGCGCGCGGGGATGTCAGGAGCAAGCCGTCTCAAGTTGGCCAAGTTTCTCTATCCCTCTTTTAATGGTCGAGGGACATTATGATAGTGTTTTGTTTTTTGTTTGAATGGTCGAGGACTTCCACTTTGAAGCATTCTCAGTACCACCGTACTGGAGAGTACCAGCGCAGAAGCCTGGAGACAGTACTGTAACACCACAAACAGCAGGGGGTACTCGGGGGTACCCCAAATATATACATATATATATATAGGTATACATTTATGTGTTTGTACCTGTCTATATATTTATGTGTGTCAATGCACATTAATGGGAAGACTATGAAAGAACAACGGAGACGGCCAGTCCAACAGGGCAAGTGCCGCAGAGCCGAACGCGTTGGTTTTAGCATCGCGGCCTGCCACCGGACGGGACCATGGGAACACTACGGGAAGATGATGACCATGATGAGAAACCTTAGTAGCAGCTTAGAAACAGCTGTTTGATTAGTACTTGCCGGTTTTAAGTAGTTTAACATCGTACTGAGTAAACTACTAGTGGCGTATGGCTTAGCATACAAAAACACAATAAACAGCAAGTCGTGGTAAAATTGTACTTGAGACAAACACAACAAATGTTTAGCAACACGTTGTGAATGTTTAGTGGTTTTCCAGGAACAACGTAGAACAAGAAACCATCTTGTAAACAAACGGAAAAGTATAAATCTATCTATATATGTATATGCTTTAGTAATATCGTGTTGCATTTCACATGTCTGACAAAAACAGAAAGTAACGAATCGATCTCGCTTTCTTCAATAATCCAACAAGTTGAATTCATAGGTTTCTGTTCAAATAAATGTGAAGCTGCATGACTTGCTTTACTTACAAAGCATCATAAAATCAAAATGTTGCATGTTCTGAAGAATAAGCGCTTCTGAATCTTCATAACTTTCTTTACCCACAGAAGTAGAAGCTCTTTAGTTCACGTTTTCTTTTCTTTTCTGAAAGCAACAGACAATTGTAAATATACATGTATGTATGTATGTATGTATGCATGCATGCATGTATGCATGTATGTATGTATGTATGTATGTATATATGTAGTGCATGTATGTATGTATGTATGTATGTATGTATGTATGTATGTATGTATGTATGTTCTGTATGTATGCATGCATGCATGTATGTATGTATGTATGCAATGTAATGTAATGTAATGTATGGATGGATGTATGTATGTAATGTAATGTATGTATGTATGTAATGTATGTATGTATGTATGTATGTATG